ATTATGTACGAAAAAATATATTAATTTATCCCATCTTGACATTTTTCTCCGTTGCGTGTCGCTTCGCGTTGAATTTTCGTCGATGTTAAGCCTAACGAAGACTATTGTATCGTTAAAAATTATTTTTTTCTTTTGTACGAACAAAATAAATATATTAGAAATATAAAAACTATAAAAATTATACTTCAGAAGTTAATTTAGTATGAAAAACGTAAAATATTTGAGTAGCCCAAGACATTGCCAAAGATTGCAGCGCCATAGCACTAGCGAAAATTTAAATTTGCCGACTGGAATTCTTTCGGATAATTGACGTTTCGGATGATTGACTTTCGGATAATCGACGCTCTACTGTAACCCTTTCTTGTAACGACCTTGCCTTAAAAATTATTATTTCTTCCAGTTGGCTTTTTCCTTTATTAACCAAAGGAAGAAAGCGGTATTTAAAACAGGAAGACTTGTATGCAACTTCAAAATGTCATACCTCTGATTACCTTGGTAACCTTTTACAAAAGTAAGTAATCAATTAATAGCTAAATTAAATTTATGTACAAATTTATTCAAAATATGATAATGTACAATACGATATATATATTGACTAAAACCGAAATTCTATATATTATAACATTGCAATCTATGACTATTACAGTATTTCTATATGGAATTATCAATTTGTAGATTGCAAATGTATGAAAATTGATTGAGAATTAATTAATTAATTAATTGAGATTTGCAGTTCTATGTAGAAACAAATAATTTATGTAGCCAAAAAGGAATAAAATTAATAAAATTATAATTATAAATGCTGTGAAATCGATGTTCTCAGTCATTAATTAATGCTTCTGTAAATCCTCTTTTAGGGAATGGGAGAAAGAACTGAAGGAAAGGAATCCAAGAATGTTGAATGCTATATTGCGATTTCTCGGATGGCAATTTTTAATTGCGATTATATGTGCACTTATTCAGGTATTATAGCAGATTTTAAGTAGGGTCATTACAGTTTGTAATAATAAACGAGTTAAATAAGCAATAAACTTTCAGGAAACTGTCATAATTGCTAGCCAGGCATATTTTTTGGGGTTAGTAATTAATTGCTTCGACCACAGTTCTGAGTGGAATGAATTCAGAGCTTACTTATCAGCTGCAGGATTTTTTGGAATAACTGCGATTTATTTATTTATCTACAATTTCAATTTTTTTGTAACAGAAGTATTAAGCATGAAATTGAAGATAGCTTTGTATACTGTTTTATATAGAAAGGTGTGTATCAAATACGCTTTAAATTATTCAATATTATGAAAAAAAATAATGTTTTATATGATATACGTGAGATTTATAAATGAAGAGTTTAATTTTTGTAAAAGAAATTTCTACTCAAAATAAATACTGCGTTATTTTCCTTCCTATATTTTATTTAATTCATTTTACTCGTAAGATAGTTACCATTTCCATGTTTGTATTATTTGGCTCATAAGATTTTTCAAATTACAAAAATAATTTCATAATATTTAAAATCTAATAAAAATGTATACGACTTGTCACAAAGAAAAAAATTTAATGGTAGAGATGGGATTTATAAAAAAAAAACTCTCAATGCTAATAACTCGTAAAATGGCTATTAAGTTCAGCCTTACTTGGAATACGACACACGACCACCCTTATGTTTCCAACCATTCATTTCACGTACAATCAGCAAAATTTAATACTATCAATCCCTCTAATACACAAACCTCCATGCAAAATTTCAGAAATTTTTTACATAAAGCACGGAAGTTAAGCTTCATACCTGGTGAACAAAATTGTACACCTCACATACACACAGAGACACATTAAAACCTATACATAAAAAAAAACTACAGAACATTTTTGTATTTTATGAACGTTACGAGGTTTTATTTTTCAAAAAATGTAAAATTTTTGGGATTTCATTTTTTGATCGATTGCCATACTCTCCATCTGTTAACTATAACAGAGGGANTAACATCGATGAAAATTCAACGCAAAATAGGTTAATAGCGATATACTAATATACTAATTACATGGGATATAATAATATACTACACTAATAATGGATTTTTTCATACTTTTCGGTTATCCGACTTTTCAATTATCCGACCAACCCCAGTCCCCAACTTAGGGCGGATAATCGAGGTTCTACTGTATTCCATAGAAAAATGTAAGTCTATTAATATTTTCCACAAAGAAATACTTATTTTTATAAACATTTTCATATTTGCAATAATTATAACTAAAACGCATTCAATTTACAAATGTGTGAATTCTCCGTATGACTGATCTGACATAAATTCATAGTGAAAATATATTTACAAAAAATATACAGTGAAACCTCGGTTTTCGAATGACTCGCTTTTCGAACAATTCGGTTCATGAACAAAATTTCGGATTCTTATTTGCTTCCGGATGCCATACAACTTTTTCGGTAGAAGCTGACCAAACATTAGAGAGATACACATATTCATAAAAGTAATAACGTTCTAATAACGTATCTTTGTATATGGTGTTAGAATGCACAATAAGCGTTAAAATTATAAACCAATGAGAACATACAGCAATTAAAACTATACAGAGAAAAGAAAACAAGCAAAAAAAAATTATTAAAAATAAGAAGTTATAATTGTGGCGTATTAACAGAGTGAAAGCAAAAAAAGATTCGTTTGTGTTTTAATTTTGTAGCAGTTCGCTGTTTAGGGTGAACACTTTTTTATTGCAGCAATAATGGAATCTGTATTACTTCTGCCAGCAAAAAAATCAAAATCATTTTGAATGAAGTAATCTTTGTCATCTAGATGCAATACAATGCAACTTACAATAAGGCAATCCAGCACCTTAGTTAAAATAAGAAAGAATAAAATTTCCCTGCAAGTGCATTCGACAAGTGCGTTGAGGCCTCAGATATCTTTGGAATGAGCACCATCTTGGAATGCTAGTTTTGAAGCAGCAGTTGTAAAAGTTTAACAGAATATTGATGGGTGCTTATACAGATTATTTTAAAATGAAACATTGACTCAGTAAATGAAAAAAACCGAACACGGATCATAGTTTCACATATCAAAAACATATCGGACTCATGATACATTGTCTATGCGTTGAGTTGCTGTATTATGAAAAACTATTCAAATTTTATACAGAATTCAATATTATGTATAAAAACAAATACTCCATCTGTGAAGTAACGTAAATGATAATTTACTAACGTAACTAATTTCAATTTATAAATTTTCTTATTTTTTATTTTCCTAATTTTTTAAAGTACAGTTATACCCCGACTTACTCTACCCCAACTTACGCGAACCCGGAGTTACGCGATTTTCAAATCTCGTCGATTCGCCTTTTGTTTGGGCGCCACGCAACCCTTGATTACTCACTCCCCCCACACTATTGTTCAGCTTACATGTTCGGACGTGTTGCGCGGAATCCACACATAGCTACAATTTATTCTGTGTTTGTTATATCTACGGAGACTCCAGAGTCTCTACTATGTCATTCAAACGAAGTAGAACTAATTCTTCCGCATCAAACAAGATAAGAAAAACTTTATCTTTGGAATGTAAAGTTAACATTGGGTATGTTCGTAAAGTCGAACGAGTTAAGCGAGAATGACGTCATCGTTATTCCTATTTCGTTAGACTTTTCGAACGATTCGTTACTAACGCGTTTAACTGGTTTGACTTTACGAACGTACCCATTATTAAAGACTTCGATACAAAAATGAAAATTTGTGAATTGGCAAAGAAGTTTGATCTACCGGAATTGTCGGTCAGAACAATTATAAAAGGCAAAGAAAAAATTCTCGAAGCTGTGAAA